GATTTCCTGTGAACCAAGACTGCCTACGATTGTTGTAGTTAAGATACACTCCGTCAAATAATCACTATAAAGTCATGCTGACGAGTTCGGTGAAGACGAGCTCCTAACAGCGGTCCGGGGTTTTGGCCGAGCATGTCTACCTCGGCATATCAGCTCGCTAAGACGTGTAAGCAAGGCAGTAAACAGAGACCCTACTTAGAGGTAAGCCATCGTCGTCATGTCGCAACATCGTCACTGGACCTTACATCATGCCGTAAGATTTATATCGTGTGAAAAGTCTAAATGTTGTACAAATTACTCACCAAAAGGATTATCTCAGCGCTAGCCTTTTTTGGCGACTTTTTCGTCTCAGATGGGTGTGTCAGATAGCCAACTAGCTAATAAACAATCAGTTTTCCAGAATCAAAACGAGGCTTTTTAGAAAACGTCTTGTTAAAACATGCCCACAAAATCTTTTACTTCTGGTGTCCAAGTAATCATGTTTGCTAATGCGTGACTTCCACAATCACTATAATGCTCTCACTGGTGACAAAACAGTCACTAGTTAGGTTAAAATGTGCAATTAGTCATGAGAAAACAACAAGCATCACGTACAGTGGGCGCGCAACACGACTAACCACACCGCGCACGCTGCTAAACAGAAGGTTAAAGGCTTGCGGATAAAACGCCTCCGTAGTGCACCAAGTCACGCCTACTCACTGTTGTATACATGAAAAAGCCGGGTTCTTCAATGTGAAAAACAAATGCAATGTCAACGTCTTGGCATGGAGTCCTAAGTACGTAATTACTAGCTTAGTCTGACTCGATAACACGTAAGCTTTCCTACAAAATAGCACATGTAAGAATTGCAGCCGGTGCTTTCTTATCCAATGCCGGGGGGCAAGTAGAATCAGTTGTGTACATGCAAAACCCGCAAGCCTACGGGAGGGAGGGGGGCATCAAGCGGTGAATGAGCCATAAAGATGTTTAGTGACACACATGCATGCCTACAACAAACACAAGCGTAGGTTGTGCCACGTCAACCATTGCACCCACACGCATCGCATACCGTCCTGGCATTTAATGCTTACTTGGGGAGAAAGGGAGAAAGAACGAGTTAAAGGCTGCAGGTCTCTCGCAATAATATTCAACGTGCGAGTCACAGCTGCCCTCACACTCAGGACGTTGGTCATCACTGAATGTGATAGGTGAATTGCCAAGTACTGCGTAACTTGTGTGATTGAAAAAGTACACGCTTGATTATCACGTCATACAACGGCTCGAGTTAAAATGGATGAACTCAAAATGCGAACCAATTAAATGTCGGTGATTAGAAAAAGCCGCACAAGTGTTAAGAAAGATTACTAAGGAAAAAAACGGGATGACCCACGGAAAGGTGGTAATGGAAAGGAACGACCATCAGTGCGCGACTATTCAATAGAGCGATTGGTTGCGACTGGTAAGTTTATTAACGTAGCTTGCAACGGGGCTAATTTTGGCCCTTAGTC